TTAGAAACTGCTGATACAGCAAAACCAGAGCACTTAACCACCTGGCTAATTTTGGAGGCCCTTTTAGATAATTGTTCCCATTGACACAAGCATTAAAAGAATCCTGTCTATACCATAGTGACCACCTGTCCACATAGACCAGATTTTATCAGTCTTCTTGGCAGTTTTTACTGCACGTGTACATGTACATGTACAACCAGAAGCCACACAGGATATTTGCACAAGTCCACAGGTATTCTGACTCTGAGAGCGGCACTTCACATAAGGGCGGATATCCACTAGTAGCTACACTAACAAAGCGAAATATAGGTCAGGGTTTTTAAGAGGGGTGAATAGTAAAAACTTCGGTCACGAGATTGACCTTGTATCCTAGTAACGTTTGAGTTATGCGTCTTCCATGCAGTCACAAAGACAAAATACCATTAGGCCATAACAATTTAATATCTTGATTCTCGGATTGCCGCTTCATCTTTTTCTTATTTGCAAAAAAATGTACATTGTAAAGGTTTTCACAGATATAGGATCATATAGGTATGCTATTGAATAGAGCTGATTCAACTTGTTACGTAAAAGAAAATTGACTTTGAAAATCCAGCTTTTCTGCATTGATATGGCTTTACGTAACTTTTTAAAATCCAACCCACACACTGGGAAGAACATCCCTTGTGGTAAAAACACATACTGATGTATTCATGGCTACACACCAAGGAAGGAAGTTGAATAACGAAGAGCTCTGGTGCAACTCCCATGGAACATTGACTACACAGAAATTCAATGATGGCGATCTAAAAGTCTACTCCCACACATTAACGTCACAGGTAGCTTGTTTCATAAGATGTTTATACATGACTTCCAGGATCTGTGCACAGCCATAGGGAGAAATACACCACCCACATACAAAATCCTGTGCAAAGCTAGCTTCTGCTATTTTTAGGCATTTTGAGCAGGTACCCAAAGAGATTTCAGGGCAGTAGAACTGGATTTTCAACATCAATTTTCTGGTTTTTGCTACCCCATAGCTTTATAATATGATACAGTATCTGTTACAATGTAAAGCAAGAAGGTGATGTCACAGAACGAAAATGGTTGCCTATTTTGTATCATAGGCTGGTTACAGCTATTTATTGGTGGTACCAAAAATCCTCACATTGCTTGTTTCTTGGCTATTTCAAGTATGAAGAAAATGTTGATGAAAATGTGCTAAGAAATGGCAGTAAATGTCAATATCAGACAGATTTCCTCATCTAGATTCTATTTCATGTTTTGCCACCCTGAAATTGCTTTGGGTGCCTTATAAGACAGGTTTAGCTATTCTAAACAAGGTATCAGTGGTTGGGGCTTAAAGCTCTCTTTATCTACATTCCTATCTTTCAGAAGAACTCCTAGTCTGCAAATTCCCATTCAAAAGAAGGAAGCGAGCAGTTAACTTTTAAGCATGTTTTCTTTTCTAATTATGGTGTTTCAGCTAGTTCATTATCACTTTTTGAATAAGTCCCTTTTAACACAACAAATACGGTTAATCTTAAAATATCTGCAATGGTGTTAAACTTTTATGTTTGTGGGAAACAAAATGCAAAGACAACAGATTTTGTCAGTAATCGAAAATCACAATTGTATGCCCACGGTGAACTTTAAATACTACCAACACATCATTAAATCACAAAATTAAGTCACTGCAAAACTAGATGAATCTACAGTAGATAGCAGAAGAGAAAGCGAACCCCACTCAACCAGTAGACATAACTTCCTGTTTGGACCAGACCACATTTTGTTGCCACAATCCCACAGGTTACCCCCCTACTCGTTAAAATGCACTCTTCTACTGGTCCATACGACCATTCGTTTTTCACATCTATCAAAAGAGACATCTTCATTAGCAGAGCACCATTCACGCCGTGTCAGTAGAAAGAGGACTGCCCCCTAGGCACCCCATTTTCTTCACATTATCGGTAAAGCCCAATGACCCGGCGGTCATCTTGTCTATTCAAATCTGACAACAACAACTGGAGCAATGAAATATCACCTTCTTGTGTTCCATTCAAGTCTTGTATGAATTGGTCTTCTAAGGAACTATTTCTCTAAAACAATTTTTGCTAGTATAAACCTGATTGACATGGACAATTATATATACTGTATGAATGCAATATGCAGTTCTAACGTACATATTTTCATTTTGCAGTTTTTTTAACCCCCAGGATTAAATATTAGTGGTAGAAATTTCAAATGTGTACACTGTTGATGTTGTATTCTATGGGCATTCGATTGAGCCTGATGCAAACAATAAATAAATGTATCAATAAAATATATTTTTGACATCTATACTCACTCACTTACTCACTAAGTCAGTTAGTCAGTGAGTGACATCTGTACATGTCTGGGGAATTTGTATGCAAGAGCTGTGACAGACTGAAATAATTTGTGAGTGTTTGGTTGTCACAAGATATTTCCATCATTTGAAAGACACCATAAAAGTCATGCTACATGATATGAATAATATAATGTGACAGTGCCGTGCAGAATGCCTGTGCATTGAGAATCTGTTTGACCTAGATATGAACAAATGGTGGAATCTTCAATGTCACCCTCAAAGCAATATTATGCTCTCCAATAAGGAGTAAACAGTAATATACTAACAATGAAGAGATATCCAATCCAAGTTTCTGAGATGATATTTCAATCAGCGAGGGTGTTCTTTCATGTCAAGTGCGTATCATTTGGAATTCACGTAAGACAGTCAATTTATTGATGAGTACTTATCAAAGATATTGCAAACAAAATTCAAATTTTATTTCCATCGTGGCATACACGCAAAAATGTGTATTTAGTACGGCTCCATAAAATTGCTGTATTCAATGATTATACGATATGGTGTAGGAATAATAAATTTATGGTACTGCACCCCAAACATAGTCCTATAAAATTTGTCCCTACATCAAAACAACCCAAGGGCATAGGCACAGAAATAACCGTAACCCAAGTACACTGAGATGGCTTCCATATCCAAGTCGGGGAGATCCTGTGGCCTTAAACTTAACCCAGAAACTCAACACGGTCTCTCCCAAATTTCTACCAGATGGGGCCTTAAAAACAAGGTTGCATTGTTCCTTTTCTATTCCGCATTTATACAAATTTGCACAATGAATAAGCATGACCAAATGTTACTGGTAGATTTGTGCGTATACAGGGCTCAGCTGTATTAAAACAGAGCATGAAATTTGTTTAAAAATGGGACACCTGCCACCATAGTACATACAAATGTACCCCGGACTAACCTTAAATATTCCGTGTCAGAATCTGATTTCAGAAAACGTACAAACAGGCACGTCGTACACATAACATGAACGACAAGATACATATTAATTCCACCTCGTAGCACACAACCTTATTTGGCCCTTCAAACTATTGGATATCCTCAATTTCCTTATTTACAGAAAATGAAAATGGAAGTGCTAGGAGTTGTGCTGTCCACATTAACCTATTTCTGACGTGCTCAATACCCAATCTTCCTAGCACACATTGACTGCGTTAGGTATCCATCACTCAAAGCTTCCCTACAGACAGCTTAGTCATTACCCTGAGTGACATTACATGTATGATCGACACATTCTCGCGCCATGGAAACTGAGGTATCACCGTCTGCGAACACACCCTGAGCACACAGGGTAACATGCCCACCCCACTTACTACATTCCACTCAAACATGTTACAAACACTACTCTGACTCAGGGCTTGTCTCAAAGCCTAACATTTCATTTCTAACAATATTAGTTCAATATGTATTGCTACATATTGATAATTCAATCAATACTCTTTCTCTAAAGAGATGATGCAATTGAAAATGATGGTACAGCTAAGAGCTTCAGTTTCAGTGACATCACAGGCCAATACTAATAACATGTAACATTCTTTAGAATGATTCTTTCAATATTTCTGCTCATCAGACCTGACAATACAAAACAAGTTTGTCACGACTGAAAACAGTTACACGAATCTTTCTTATGAATTCATTCTATTCTATGGTTGAACAACAGCCATGAAAAATACCAATTTCGAGAACAGCGTGTAAAAACTTTTGAGACCTGTCTCAGAACCACTGCTACTGCCAGAAACATCTGCGAATAAGGAGCTAGTTTCAATAAACCAGAACTAAAGTAAAACATCCTGTTTCTTTTCTGGAAGTCTGCGGCGAAGGTGAAAATACCCAAACAGCCAGAGGCAATGTGGAAGGCATGTGTGTGTAGCGCCTTTTAAACAGGAGCACCAAAACATTTTGCGCAGATACCCAAGCATGTGAAAAATCTTAATGAGTCTGTGTATTGTAATGAGAAAATTACAGGGTGGGTAGTGTGTTGGGGGTATTGGCAGATCTGCTGCAGTGTTTGTACAATAAAAGGCCTGCCCCAGGCCAGGTCACAGATCACAAGCACACTGACTCAGAAAGTAAGCAAAGTTTCATGTGCCAATATGCAATGTGTACTCAGAGTGCAAAGGTAGTGTTCTAGAAAAGACTGGGAGGACGAATTTTGGCAACAGTGTTTTAATAGAAGGGCGGACTTTTTTATTTGCCTTGCTGTAGTGTAATGAGCTGAGGGCTTGTGTTACTTCAAACGGTTTCCATGCGTGTTTTGGTTGCGGAGGAAGCGTCTGGGGAAATGTTTCTGTCTGCCAAAGTTTTGAAGAAAAACAGGACACGCCTATCTCTAAGTACATATCAACACCCACTTTCTCTCGTCCGATTTCTCATCGACATAACAAAAGTAGCCAGCAAAACCAGCTCGACAGAAATACACAAGGGCATTCAATTTCTAATACACATTCATAGAAACTGTCAACAATTTTTGTTCCGTTCTTGTGGTTTGGTAAAAGGCCAACTTTATCAATAAGTTTTTATACCCTTATCTGAAAATGGCCTGGTGGTGACAACTGCGCACTTTCTCACCCTTAACAATATCGGCGGCGGCTTAAGACTTCAAGACGTAGGAATAAGGAGTTCTACACACCTTGAAGACGTCTGAGAAGAATCCTGAGCCTATCTTGTCGCAGACGAAGTCGTCTAGGCGGGCCAAGTTGGACACGGCGGTCCGTAGGGCTTGGCAGGACGCCCCTGGGATCAGCTTCGGTCTCTTTCCCGGGGTAGCACCGTAGGAGTTCCAGTCCTGTACGTCGTTTTCCGCACACGGGATGTACGAGTAGATGGTGTTGCGTTTGGTGCGTGATTCCTCGCGAGAAGCCATGTTGTGGTGAGTCGTCGTCGCCAGATTTGAAGAAGAAGAAACAGAAATCCAAGAAGACTGCGGTGGGAGGATTGGATTTTATCTCCGTGCACCGCTAGGTCGGTCTGGATTCAACTGGCCAGGCCACGCCGTCCCAATCACAACAAACAGGGGATCCAGTCCGCGGTCTATTTCAGGAAGGGATTTTCATGACTAATGTCACGTCGAGTGTCTTCTTCGGGTCATCAGTTCACATGTTGTGTTGTTGTGATGGTTGGGGGGGGGGGGGTGGTTAGTTGCGATACGACGCCAAGATCGAACGGAGGATCCCAAACGCAAACGTTGTGTAGGCTCGCTCCCTCTCCAAAAACAGAGCGAGATTTCTTGCTCACAACCTGGCAATTTGTCAAAGCTGTAGGCTAGCTACGACAAGTGGAAAACAGCCGCTCCATCCACAGTTTGTAAAGCCGCGGCCAGTATCAGGACCGCGAGGCCGTTGCTGACACAAACAAGGCTGGCGAAGCCCACCCACCGGTCAACACCTCGCGACCTCACCGCTCAACCTTGTCCCGGTCGGCGCTCCCGACAGAAACCAGCCTGGAACTCAAAAACACGGCAGAACGATGTCGTGAGGTTCCCCTTGCGAAACGTCCTGGCAAACGGGCCACAATCGACCCCAGTCTCCGTTTTCAGACGAAAGAAACGAAGGCGCGAACGAAAGAAAAACGCTTCTCATCTCCAAGCTGCGGCCGCCATAGTCGCAATGCATGCCGGGTACGAGGGCGGGGACCGCAAACCTCTGAACATTCTTTCAACTTCGGAACAAAGAAAAGGTAAATATTTTTGTCAGGCTTGGTCATGCCCTTTGGTCATCGTCTCTTGCCGCTCAAAGAGGGTTACAGAAGAAACGTCTTACTAAAACATCTATTTAAATTGCGGGCCTAAAATAATCATTGGTGTTTTTCACCATCTTCCAATGAACAAGCAGAATGACTGCTTTCGGTATAAAATCTACGTCATCCAAGGGTTCACAACGAATGAATGCTAGAAGTACCTATATATTTTCAACATTTGAAGTATTGTGACTATATCCATATCGACAAAGGCGATTTCAGGTTTTAGTACGCATAACGTTGCATCTATGCCTTATGTACAATACATGTAACTTTTTTTGCTTCACATTGTCCCAATGAATCACCAATATTAAGTTAATACATGTAGTCTTTAATACGTCACATACTATTAACTTTATTGTTTTTTGTCCGTCCATTTGTTTTTTTACCGATATGTAGATTTGGATGCATGCAGTTACTGTGGGATGTAATGCCATACTAAAGTTACCTATACATTTAATACGATGTCATGCTTACTATATCATACTTATAATGTCGGATGATTTCTTTTGGGTGCGACAATGGACGACGCCAAATATATGACTCATTGTGACGTCATTGAACTTCGAGACGTTCCCATGGCAACCGGCCGGGTGAACGTCGGGTCGTTTTCAGGGGTTATCTCAAGTGACGTCACCTTGACTCTTCCGATCCTCTTACAAGTTACATGCGGTAGTTTTGACTGTTTTATTTCACGAAAAAAAGCGTATTGCGTCCTTTATCACTGATATTGAATAAACTACTGTATCAACGCACTTGTACCCTGTGTTACGGCTAGAGGTTTCATTTTTATTTTATTTGGGGCATTGCCCATCGTTTCCTAGAACTGGGCCACCGCCCGTTGCCAGGGACCCGTTTTAGAATGGCGCCAAGGCCAGGACAATATCAATGTCGTCCTGACTAGGCCATGGTGAGTCGCCCTGGGGTGACCGGGGGGTAACGCACGTCTGATGGTAAACAGAGAACGCGATTTAATTAGTGACCTTGTCAAGTTCAGATGTTTGAAGATGACAGGTTATGTGTAACGTTACGACTGATATTGTTAAGCCGATGGAATAATACCAACGCAAAATCTATGCGGGTTTGTTTATTTGTTTTCATAAACGTACTTGTTGCTTAATACTAGTAAGCCAGAGAGGTGATTTCTTAGAGACACAGTACTTAAAAGTTTCCTTCAGCTACCAAAGAACCTCTTGGTCAGTGGGCTATCTAACCCAGGTCTTGTCTGCTATTCTGAAGGATCCTAAAAAGGTTAGTTTACAGTCACCCAATCTGTGTACGCTCAACTTCATCATCATCGGTGACTACTCTTTGGTGTTTTCGCTATCCTGCTCAGTCTGAGAGTACTGGCAGTAGGTTAGGCAAGGTCATCCGTTTTACCACATTCGGATGGTTGAAGTCATTTGGATGAGCAATAGCCATGCATGCTGCAGTGTTACGCACAGCTGCTAGATGTCGTGGGTGCGCATCTTTGCAGCATCACCAGGATTACAATATGCTGCTTTCGCAAATCTCTAAGCAGATCACACGGTGGCAAGGCAGTATCCATTGGCCAGAGGAGTATCCTTCGGTGTCTCATGGACACTCCTCTGCTGGCCAATGGATACTGCCTTGCCACCGTGTGATCTGCTTGGAGATTAGTCTTCTCTGGGTACGAGGGTGGAGACCACAAAAACCTCGAAACATTCTTTCAACTGCAGAATTTCAAGTGAATGAAAGGTAATAACGAACTGTAGCGAGTCCAGAGCACCAAAGCTATATGTAACAAGTTATGGTTACTATGAAATGTTTTAGGCATCAAACAAAAATGATGTTAATAACACGGTAGTGACATGATGGAAAGCGAGTTCGTCACTTAGTCGTTAAGGCTTAACTTAAGTAAGGACGTTAATTTATATACCTTTTATGAAATGACCTCGACTTAAGCTAGAACATTATGTCCTTGCTTAGCTTCAGCAAGAACATTATGTACTTTTTTGTGACTTAAGCTGGAACATTATTCTTGTGCCTTCAAGTAAGTAACGCATGAATACGGCCAGATGAACATCACTTGAAAACAGCTTGCACTATTTTGTTTTCAAATTCACATGGGGCTTAGTCCTTCTTACACTTCAGACTTTCTGAATTGACCGTCTTGTTAGTGCAAGGTAATTCTATTTTCTATGGAGTTATGGATGTTTGTGTAAGATGACACAGTATTTGCAGGTTGACATAACAACTGTGAACGCTAAACATCATTCCCCACATCAGGATGTAGCCAATTGCAAACAAGTTACTTAGAGTAGCCTAGTTTGCAGGCTCTACGGCCGGGCTCTTCGGGGAGCATTTCTAACGCACTTTTTCCAGAGTTTCTGGCATATCACCTCTATTTATACAGGGGTGTTTTTACCAGCCCATTGCGTACGGTAAAATAGAATTAAAGTGATAATATCAGAAATAAAAAGTCCACCCCTCAGAAAAAACTTAGAGGTAGAGGCTGCTAAGGAGACTATCTGCTACTTCTGGTCCTCACGCCTTTAAAGCTTAAGAAGGGTATTACCGGTGCACGTGGCCTTACCCTAGTCTCTATAAGACTAACTGCGCTGGCCACATATAGGAGCATACTAGTATTTGCCGGGGGAGTTTGGCCGCCTTGGGGTTTGACTGGCCACGCTGTTAGGAAAGAACCAACCATCCACGGACTGCCTCCCTGGCCAATTTTACTCTCCTTTTTGCCTAATACTACGATAGGTTTTTCCGTAGAAAGGCCTGGTGGAGGCTAGCTTTACCCGGTTTTCACTTCACTGACAACGCGTACGCTTACTTAGTAGCAACGCGCGCCCTCACTACTGCAACACGGGCAGCAGCTATGGACTGCAACACGGACAGCACAGTACTGTCAGCAGTCTGCCTTTTCATCTTCTTTTTTGCTGTACCAGGACCCGTCAGTGGAACTTGTGAGTACATATATAGCATCATTTTCGTGTCAGAATTTCGGGTAAAAAGGTATACCTTGAATAAGCGTAAATACGCTTACGGTGCTGCAAAAATACAGTATGGATTACGTTGTCTAATGTCCAAGCAGATCAAGACAGTATCCAAATTGTCCAGTCTGTAACAAATTTAGGTGAGAAATTGTTACAGACTGTCTTGCCCCAACGAAAGATCTGCTTGGAGATTAAACGAAATAGTCCTTATGTAGGTTGACCATGCGTCCCTTTTTCTACTTCATGACACTTTCAGTGACAAAATACATTACAGAAGTGAACCTAAAAGTTTACCTCAATTAAGCGTACGTGTGTGTGTGATGGGGACGTTTACGATATCTCAACGCTAGTGTGCTACGATATTTTCTGAAATGCTGTATTCGATATGAAGCAGTATTATAACAACATTGAACTGAAGAAGTATAATGTGGCGACTAACGTTAACGTTATTTCTTATAAGTATGATAAACGTTGTGATAAAACGTAAGGATACACTATACGGTAGCACGTGAGTTACTACATTCTTCGTAGCTATTTCTAAAACTATGTCTAAGGGGTTTGACTTCTCTTTTTTAGACTATGGAAGACGTAATGTCCCACCTTTTCTAAAATTAGTGGGTTTTGGGAAGTTAAAAGAAGGATAGTTTTTTCCTGGTCTGTAAGTTTAGTAAAATTGGGATAAATTGTAGAAGTTTGAATAGTTAACTCATTTCGAGCGTTGCTATGAAAGGAACAATTTGAGATAAAATGTATTTCGTCTTCCACAGCCTTTGCATTACAATATTTACAAATTCTTTCACATACAGGTAGCCTTCTATACCGGCCTCTCTCTATCTCCAAAGGATGGGCGCTAACTCTAATTTTACTAAATGACTGAGCGTAGTTCGAAGTTTGCAAGATTAAGATATAGCGTGATGAACGTTCATGTGTGTTGGTAGTTACATCTTTAAAGGCAGCAAACTGTATATAGTGTGAAGGCTTTGCAAGAGAACTTGTTGCATGGCGATATCATTGCCTATGAAGTTTGTCCCAGGCAAGACATTAGTAAGTGACGTCCAATGAACGTTAGTCTGGGTGTCAGACTGTTGGCAGAGGTAATATACAGGGTATAGCTCCTCGGCTCCGAAAATTTTACGTAGGCACTCTCCTGTACCCATTGGCCGCCACTATCCAACGTGGAGGAATAGCAGCGCTAAAAATCATGGCCATCCCTATTAGCCACTCCAAAACCCCCTACCGACACCTCTGTTTGGAGAATGCCTAGGCACCCCTCAGATAGGTTGGAGAGATAATTTAGCCCCCCATGTGCTGACTCTGGGATCGGAGCTTGTTGCTTCCCCGGCCAGCCGAAGCGTGGCCGAAGGGAGTTTTGTGTCGAGCCGGGGTCTGGCGGCCAGGCTAGATGAACGTAGGGCCGACCACTAGGGACGTCTGTCCCACTCCTCGTTGAGTTGTGTTTGACTCCTGTGTGGAAGTCAGTAAGACAGCTGCTTAGACTGTACTCTTTCGGAAAGTTGTGGCTTTTTTTTCGAAACGTTTTGTTTTACAACTTCGGCTGTAAAAGTTGTGTTTTTTTTTCGGAAAATTTTTACAGCTTCGGCTGTAAAAGTTGTGTTTTTTTTCGGAAAGTTTTTACAGCTTCGGCTGTACTCTTTCGGAAAGTTGTGGCTTTTCTTCGGAACATTTTTTTTACAGTTTTGGCTGTCCTCTTTCTGAAAGTTTTTCGGAAAGTTTGGCTGATTTGTTCGGTGACTACTTGGCAGGCAGACTCGAAACCTTGGTTGGGCACTCATTAACCCTGCCTAGGAGGCAGCTTTACCTCCTTCGGAATGTTTTTCTAAACTTAAGTTTTTTCCTACCCTGAACAAAATTCTCTTCCTACTTTACAAAGTTTACAAAGTAATGTAATTATTACGTAATCCTCTTAGTTTTGTGGTATAATCTCATCTAACCGTTAAGGTTTAACTTAAGAAATGACATTATATACCTATTTATGCAACATCCTTGGCATAAGCTAAGAACATTATTTCCGTGTCCTTGACTTAAGCTAGAACATCATAACGCCCCTCAACGTAAGTAATGCACGAATATCAGATTAACATCACTTATAAACAGCTTTTATTATCTTGTTTTGAAATTCACATGGGGCTTAGTCTTTCTTAGACGGAGACTTTCTGAATTGACCGTCTTGTTAGTGCAAGGTAATTCTATTTTCTATGGAGTTATGGATGTTTGTGTAAGATGACACAATATTTGCAGGTTGACATGACTACTTTGTACTTTAAACATCGCTCTTGACGTACATAGCTCTTTGCGTCAAGACGTAGCCAATTGCGAATAAGCTACAATAGCCTCATTAGAAGGCTGTAGCCTCTACCAGGCTTTGGAAAGCGTCTGAAAGAGTAGAAATTGGCCAAATAAGAGATATCATGCCGAGGGAGTTGGTCCGCTAGGGCGGCAAAATGTAATCTAGTCGACAAAGGCCATCGGAAGGTTATCTCTCTATTTGGCCAATTTCCACTCTTTTCAGCCGCCTCCCGAAGCCTGGTAGAGGCTAAGTACATGTAGGCTCAACGATGGGGCTTTTTGTGACGTCTTTAGTTTATAATACACATTTTCTTCTTTCTGGCATATCACTTTTTTGCCCTGTACCAGAGTTTGAGTTTGTTTGCCGGCCTAGCGTGTACTGTGCACATAGAAGTGATATGCATATGCCGATAAGGCCATGTTGATTTGATTACATGGATGACATCCACGCACGCATGAATTTTCGGCCGTTTCAAAAAAAAAAGTTTTAAACCATACTGTAAATCGTACAAAACAGTTGTAAAATGGACAAAAAAGAGTAAAGAGACTATTTCTACACAACCAAGTCTTTTATTCAGCTGACGTTTCGGTGACCGTCTGTCACCTTCCTCGTGGCGATTCTGACCTGTTCACATTGTACTGGAGCACAGGTGTCGCTGCTATAGATGCATTCACCTGTGCTGCAGTGCAAATTCGTCTCCTTGACACGAAAATCAGATCGGTAAAGTTTGTATTTTTTTTCTCCTTAAATTCCAGCCGTCCGTCTGCGAGACGGAAGCAACGTCAACGAGGGGAGAGTTGAGGTGTTTCACGACGGCCAATGGGGAACGATCTGCGATGACAATTTTGGAATGGAAGACGCAGGAGTGATCTGCCGTCAGCTGGGCTTTTCGGGTGCACTGAGCGTTGGGTACTTTGGCGGAGGCACGGATCCAATATGGCTGGATGAGTTGGGCTGTAGCGGTAGTGAGACGAGTATCTCCCATTGCAGTCACCCAGGGTGGGGCGCTCATAACTGTGTCCACAACGAGGATGTTGGAGTTACTTGTGCAGGGACCGTATGTAAGTAGAATGCACAGCTCTGCATTTTCGTGTGCGATTGACATACATTTTGTAAAAGATTACAACCCTGGCCTGAGACCACACAGGGGCGTACCCGAGGGAGTCACGTGCACTTAAACATCGGCCTATAAATACACGCACATCCACTTACAGATTCTCTTTTTCCCCCTACTATCCCACAGTGGAACTCCTTACCCGGCCCGGTAGTTATGGCTCCCAATGTTGAGTCGTTCCGGGCCAGTAGTGTGTTAAGCTGGATCCGAAGGTAGACATGATACATACGTAATTTGCTTTGCAAGTGTTACCTTTGCCTAATTAAATGTGTTTCATTTTATTATAGCTGTAGACGTCCGTCTCCAAGGCGGAAGCGGCGCTCACGAGGGGAGAGTTGAGGTGTTCTTCAGCGGTCAATGGGGGACGATCTGTGATGACGGTTGGGAAACTGCAGATGCACGAGTTGTTTGCCGTCAGTTGGGGTTTTCTGGTGCGCAGGAAGCGAAAGGCCAGGCCTTCTTCGGCCAAGGCTCGGGGCAAATATGGATGGACAACGTGCACTGTACCGGCAGCGAGACGAACTTGGGCCAGTGTGACCACAACGGAATGGGCAATCATAACTGTAATCACGGCGAGGATGCTGGGGTTATCTGTATACCGAGTAAGTAGACTCTTCATTTTCGATGGGAAACATCGGGGAAACTTTGAAGATAGATACCACGGCACCTGTTTAAAGTTAAAAACTTCACAGCAGCACAAAAAGTTCTCTCACCTAGAGCAGTCACTCTGATCTTCGTCAGTACACTGACCCAGTGGGGCTTGTCACGCGTGGCTTCTTTGAAGCATTTTGTTTCGGGCAAATACAATGTATATATGTCTTAGCCTCTACCGGCTAGCTTCGGGAAGCGGTCGGAAAGAGCAGTAGTCGACCAAATAGACAGATGATATGCCAGGGGAGCTCCGGAGTTGGTCCGCGCTGATAGAACAGCTTGCCGCTCCCAAACTGTTCTCTGAACGCGGACCAACTCCCATGGCATGTCATCTGTCTATCTGGTCGATATTCTATAATCTGCCAGCAAATCCCTTTCGGTGGCAAGACAGCATCCATTAGCCAGAGGAGTTTTGCCGGCCACCAGCTACTTCCCGATGCCTGGAAGAGGCAACTTGAAATTCAGATCTGATTCAGTATAAACATTTGCACATGTATTTCTATCCGCTCTAGATGACGGAGTCCGTCTCCGAGGTGGAAGCGTCGCTAACGAGGGGAGAGTTGAGGTGATGCACAACGGCCAATGGGGAACGATCTGTGATGACGGTTGGGGGATGGAAGAAGCACGAGTTGTTTGCCGTCAGCTGGGCCACCGATGCGCACATCGAAGCACATTCTTCAGTCCAGGCTCGGACCCGATTTGGATGGATGACGTGGCCTGTACCGGCAGTGAGTCGCGCATATCCCAATGCAGTCACCGAGGGTGGGCCAATCATAACTGCGGGCACAACGAGGATATCGGGGTGGTCTGCGGAACGCGTAAGTAGACTGCCTGCATGGCTCTTCATTCTCGTGTCAAAATTCTGTCTTGAAAAGTCGGAAATATAACAAATAAGAATTAATCAACCTGGATAACAGATCTTTCATTGGCATTGCCTTGTTTCGTCTGTGAAAAAGACGACAGGACCAAGTCGTCTTTTTCACAGAAGCGCGCCGTTCATGTAAATTAGTAATCCATGAGATTTGCTACAATTCAAGTTACTTTTTCTTGGAAGCATACTAACTGACATCCCAATATGTCCATGCAGACGACGACGACTGTTGCGGTGCGACCTGTCTCCAAGGAACTTGCGTGGACGGCGTCAACACCTATACCTGTAATTGTAACCCTGGCTATGAAGGATATCGCTGTGAAACAAGTAAGTGTTCCTATTAGGAATAAAGTAACCTGAATTACAGATGTTTCATTGCCTTCTCTACAAGAAAAAAGACGAAACGACCATGTGAAAACGAGGAAAACCATTTCTGATCGTCATATGTAATATGCATGAGGTTTGCTACAATTCAAATTGCTTTTTCTTAAGTTAGAAGCATATTAACTGTCGACATCCCAATATGTCAATTCAATACAGACACCAACGACTGCCGTGGTGTGACCTGTCACAATGGTGGAACTTGCGTGGACGGCGTCAACAGATATACCTGTAACTGTAACCCTGGTTATGAAGGAACTCACTGTGAAACAAGTAAGTACTCCTTTTAAGAACATGCATGAGATTTGCTACAATTCAAGTTGCTTTTTCTTGTGTGCATATTAACTGTCGTCCCAATATGTCAATGCAGACACCAACGACTGTCGTGGTGTCGTCTGTCAAAATGGTGGAACTTGCGTGGACGGCGTCAACAGATATACCTGTAACTGTAACCCTGGCTATGAAGGGACTCACTGTGAAACAAGTAGGTACTCCTTTTATAATTTAAGAATGAAGTAACCTGGATGACAGATGTTTCATTGCGTCGTCTGTAAAAAATAAAGAGGCAACACTACAATGTCGACGTCGTAATCGAAGAAAGCCATTTCTGATCGTCATATGTAATATGCATGAAATTTGCTACAATTCAAGATGCTTTTTCTTGGGTGCATATCAACTGGCGTCCCAATATGTCAACGCAGACACCGACGACTGTCCTGGTGTGGTCTGTCAAAATGGGGGAACTTGCGTGGACGGCGTCAACAGATATACCTGTAACTGTAACCCTGGCTATGAAGGAACTCACTGTGAAACAAGTAAGTACTCATATTAGGAACCTGGATGACAGATGTTTCATTGCGTTGCCTGCAAAAAAGACGAAACGACCATGTCGTAAACGAGGAAATCCATTGCTGTTCGTTATTTGTAATGCATGAGTTCTGCTATACAGTTGCTTTTTCTTGGAAACAAAATTACATTCCAATACATTTGTATGTCAATGCAGACACTGACGACTGTCCCGGAGTCATCTGCCAAAATAACGGAACTTGCGTGGACGGCGTCAACAGCTATACATGTGACTGTGCTCCTGGCTATGAAGGAGATCACTGTGAAACAAGTAAGTACTAATTTTTAAAATAAAGTAACCTGGACGACAGATGTTTTATTGCGTTGTCTTTGAAGACGAAACGACCATGTCGTAAACGAGGAAAGCCATTGCTGTTCGTTATTTGCAATGCATGAGTTTTGCTATACAGTTGCTTTTTCTTGGGTGCATATTACCTGTCGACATTAACGACGCAGACACCGACGACTGTCCCGGTGTCATCTGCCAAAATAACGGAACTTGCGTGGACGGCGTCAACAGCTATACCTGTGACTGTGCTCCTGGCTATGAAGGAGATCACTGTGAAATAAGTAAGTACTTATTTTTAAAATGAAGTAACCTGGACGACAGATATTGCCTGCAAAAAAGACGAAACGACCATTTCGTAAGCGAGGAAAGCCATTTATGATCGTCGTGTATGTAATACATGTATACATGAGATTTTATACAATTCAAGTTGCTTTTTCTTTCGTTGGAAGCATATTAACTGAAATCCCAATATGTCAATGCAGACACCGACGACTGTCCCGGTGTCATCTGCCAAAATAACGGAACTTGCGTGGACGGCGTCAACAGCTATACCTGTGACTGTGCTCCTGGCTATGAAGGAGATCACTGTGAAACAAGTAAGTGTTCCTATCAGGAATGAAGTAACCTGGATGACAGATATCGATGTTTCATTGCGTTGTCTTTGAAACAGACGAAACGACCATGTCGTAAACGGAGAAAGTCATTGCCGTTCGATATTTGTAATGCATGAGTTTTGCTACAATTCAAGTTGCTTTTTCTTAGAAGCATATTAACCGTCGACATCCCAATATGTCGATGCAGACACCGACGACTGTCCTGGTGTGGTCTGTCAAAATAATGGAACTTGCGTGGACGGCATCAACAGCTATACCTGTGACTGTGCTCCTGGCTATGAAGGAGATCACTGTGAAATAAGTAAGTACTAATTTTTTAAATAAAGTAACCTGGATGTTTCATTGAGTTGTCTGTAAGAAAAGATGAAACGACCATGTCGAAAACGAGGAAAGCCATTTCTGACCGTCATATGCATGCATTAGATTTTTTTCAAGTTGCTTTTTCTTGGAAGCATGTTACTAGTAACTGACATTCCAATATGTCAATGCAGACACCAACGACTGTCCTGGTGTCATCTGCCAAAATAACGGAACTTGCGTGGACGGCATCAACAGCTATACCTGTGACTGTGCTCCTGGCTATGAAGGAGATCACTGTGAAACAAGTAAGTTCTAATTTTTAAAATGAAGTAACCTGGATGTTTCATTGCATTGTCTGTAAGAAAAGATGATACGACCATGTCGAAAACGAGGAAAGCCATTTCTGACCTTCATGACATCATATGCATGCATTAGATTTTTTTCAAGTTACTTTTTCTTGGAAGCATATTACTAGCAACTGACATTCCAATATGTCCATGCAGACACCGACGACTGTCCTGGTGTGGTCTGTCAAAATGGGGGAACTTGCGTGGACGGCGTCAACAGCTATACCTGTGACTGTGCTCCTGGCTATGAAGGAGATCACTGTGAAACAAGTACGTACTCCTATTAGTAACCTGGATGACAGATGTTTCATTGCGTTGTCTGTGACAAAAGACGACATGACCATGTCATAAACGAGGAAAGCCATTTCTGATCGTCATATGTAATTAACATGCATGAGATTTACTACCATTCAAGTTGCTATAAAGGCTGAAGTTAGCTCAGGAGCAAATATCAGGTGTTTGGATGACACGTCATTTCTTCCAATTCCAGCTTCATGGCAGCAAACTACCCAGATACCCACGACGCCAGAACGCCGACGTAAAGCAACTCCACTCATCACTATGGTCCGTAATACACAGCGCACCGCTACCGACCAGACCACCCAACGGCCAACACCCCCAGAAACAACTGTTTCTCCGACCACCACTAACCAGACAAGCTTAGTAGGTACGTGAACACTATCTTCATCCTTTGGTTCATTAGCTGTTTATGTTCTTGTGTACACATGTTGATACATGTACGTTTTAGCCTGTTTTTCGTGTTCAACAGTTGTCAAAAGTACGAATTCTATCGTTCTCTTGCAGGATGGGAAACTTTCAAATCTACCGGTTCTGGGAACGACATGTCCCTCACAATCGCGCTGGCATGCGTGGGCTGTGCCGTGGGTTTAATGGGTATAGGCGGCGTGTTGATGTACTTTGGCAAGAGACACCAGCGAAGACGCCAAGTGGCTCCGCAGAAGTGAGATGCCACCACGGAAAAAGACTCGTTCAACCACAAGGCAGCTGTGATAACAATGTTTTACTAGCCTCTACCAGGCTTGAGGGCGCGGCTGGAAATAGTAGAAATTGGCCAAATAGAGAGATAACACGCCGATGGAGTTTAGTCATCCAGTTTACAGTTTGTGGGCCGGCAAACTCGTGAACAAAAGAAGCAGAAATATATTTCAGTTTTAGGTATACTACTCAGAATACTACATTATGCATCATTTACTATTGGGTGGAGTATAAGAAGCATCCGCTTTTGTGCTGTAGAGTAATTATGGAATGCGTCTATATGCAACATGAGCGCAG